TAAAAATAATAATAATAAATAAAATAAACAGGTTAACCCATCAAATCGCGAGTTGATTTTAACTCAACCCATAACTTGTACAAATTAATATTACAAGTTATTTAAGGGTTATGGGTTGAGATATGTAGATACTAACCCATTTTTACGAGTTGGATTGGGGTCAAGTTGATGGGTGGAGTAAATTTGTACCACTTTTAGCTCTGGCGCACAAGCTCCTTCAAATTCAAGATCCATTTATCAGTGAATCTAGCTTTTAAATTTATCCAAAAAAAAATTATTTACTTTTAATGCATCCCAAGTCAATTTTAGCGCACTTCAATAATAATTCATCATTAAATAATTTTAAGAACGAATCTACATTTTAATTTAGTACATAAAAAAATTATTTTCTCAAATTCTGACCCCAAAACATGAAAAGTGAACCAAAGTTAGAGGACATTATTTTAGCAGTAGATTCGGCCTTGGCTCTTAAAGTCTATTCTTTCCAATTCTACATGTTCCATGCAGTTGCTTCCTCATTGAACTTTGAAATTCTTTTAAGATATTCATGTCAGTATCATAAAACAAACAAAACCGATGCATGCATCTTAGGTTAAAAAGTCAACGTCTTCCTTTTTTTTTTTACATACATATATGTTCAAATTTTAGTTTTTTTTTTATCATATTGAAATTAATTACAAATATGAGTTAAATGTGAAAAAAAAATCAAATTTATAGGGTTTATATATGTTTCTCATAGGAAGTGAATGATTGTAATTCAAAATATATAGTATTAGATCAGAACGAATTATTCTAAAATTTAGTTATTTATTAATATGAAAATTTAAATTTATAATTTTAGTATCAAAATAAATCTTCTAAATTAATGAATATTAAGTCAACACATTCGGCACGACATTACTTATAAAATCCTTGTATTCCCCGTTGGACAGGATTTTCCTTATGTTTCCTCCCACGCTTTTACTCAGAATCAGAATCAGGAAGTCTTCCTGCCGTCAATGGTGCTCTTCCTCGTCTTGGCGCCACTCCTCCTCCCCGTCCTGTACTTCATTGTTCGGCCCCGCCCGGTGAAGATCCCAATCAAGGACCGTCACGTGTTCATCACTGGCGGGTCTAGTGGAATCGGGTTAGCCTTGGCCCACCAGGCAGCCTCCGAAGGCGCTCGAGTTTCCCTCTTGGCTCGCTCCCTCGACAAGCTCCAGCAGGCTAAGCAATCCATTCGGCATTCCTCCCGGGTTGAGGCCTCCATCTTCGCCGCCGATGTCCGCGACTTCGATGCCGTTCAGCACGCGGTCAACGATGCAGGCCCCATTGATGTTCTCGTCGTTAATCAAGGTATCTTTCTTCCTGGGGAGCTGGAGAGGCAGGGACTGGATGAGATCAGGTTTATGATAGACGTTAATCTCATGGGGAGCTTTAACGTTATCAAAGCAGCTTTGCCATTGATGAAGAACAGGAACCACCGGAGGCCAGCCTCAATCGCAGGCCAGCCTCAATCGCTCTCATGTCATCCGAGGGGGGTCAGGTCTGTTGTTTCCTTCTTCATTTTTACCTTCTGAAATATGTTTATATATTCATTAACAAGAAAAAAAATTATGTTTTGCAATCACCGGAGTTCACAACGTAGGTCACTGAATAACAGGGGTCCTGATAAGAAATGAGAATCCATTCATCTAATAATTAATATTTTGAACAGCAAGACATCAATCTCATTCATTAATGAGTTATTTAGCCATTGGATTTCATATCCCTCCATGGGCATTGGACTACAAACAATTCTAATGGGCTACTCAAGCAAGCATGGTATCAACATGAGTTTGCAGATATTGTCTGACTAATCAGATTAAAAATTTACAGGCCAATACTATACACTAAAAATGGGGATAATATATATTTGTTTTCTTAATATTAGGTTGGTATATATGGTTACACGGCTTACTCAGCGAGTAAGTCTGGTCTTCGGGGTTTAGCAGAAGCATTGCAACAAGAGGTCATTGCGGATAACATTCATGTGTCTCTGATATTCCCACCGGATACTGACACCCCTGGTCTAGAGGAAGGTACGCAATTAATTTCCTACATTATATATATTGTATACAACTTAGGGCTAATTTGTTTCTTGGCTGCAAATTCTTGAATGAAATAACTATAGCATATTAGGCCACATGTCAGGCTGCAGCCATATTTATCAACTAAAAAATAATCACTTGCAGAACTCAAGATGAGGCCAGAGATCAGCAATATCATAGCAAGTACCTCTGGGTTGATGAAAGCTGACCAGGTTGCTAAAAAGACTTTAGATGGCATAAAATCTGGTAGTTTTAGCATCCCCTTCGACTTCATCGGCCACTTAATATCTATAGGAACTGCTGGTTTATCTCCTCAAAGATCATTCCTGATGGCATTTGTTGAGGTGGTTTCAGCCGGTATGACACGCCTTGCAGCTCTTTGCTTCCAGTGGAGTTGGTATCGGAGTATAGAAAAGATGGCACGCACAAAGGAGTATTTTGCATAAAGGTACCTCGACATGACAGCTTCATCCCCCACCTTGTTGATTTCTTAGTTTGTTTGTTTCTTTTTTCTTTTCTTTTTTTTAATAATGCCAATTAAAGAAATTTTGTGATGCATAAAACAAAGATGAAGGAGAACTGCGTTGCCCCTTCGCTGTGGTAACATAAATGCACTTCTCTAATTGCTGCAACTGCATTGATTTGTTCTGCCTAGGTTTGAAATTGGCACTTGCTGGGTTTGCTTTAAATATTGGATAAAAAGGGTGAATATGTGAGTGAGTCTTGGATTCCTCCCTGCCATTTTTTTTCCTTTTTTTTAGAAAAAGAAATGTATTCTTATTCTACCATACTTTAACTGTTTCAAGTAAAAACAAAAAATAAATAAATAAAATAAAAAACTTCAGTATCTTTATAGATTTCAAATTAATATAACAAGTAAATTTTTTTTAAAGGTCATTTTTATTATTAGTTAAGAGTACTATAACAAAATTTCCCACATGAATGAAAAAATAAGAGGAACTTTCATGGTGTAACAAAAAACGAAATTGCCCATTGTCATCTTCATGCCTTTCAAGACATCCCAGACAGACTTCACCAGTCCTGAAAGGCTAGGCTGCGACCACAGGATCTGACTTCACCCCTGCACATCCCACAAAGCTCAATTCTATCTTTGAAATCAAAGGAGGCTTCAAGAGTACCCTTCATATTTTACAAACAAACATATTTCTAATTTTAAGATCAAAACAACAAACCTTAACCCACTTTTGCAAGTAAATGTGCTTCCGCTAGTGAGAACGCGAACCGTCGAACCTCTTTCGACTGAGCATTATCACCAAAGCTTAACGTCAACCTACTTCCACAGCCACATGGCCCAAGTCCCCTGATACGTAAACAACATGCAGTGCACAGGGTGGGTGGCACAGGGTTGGGGCCGATACCATGTGGGTCATTCCTCCTCCACACCACAACACCTGGAACAGAGAGTTGCAACATCTCTGTTGAAGATTAATGAAACAGTGCAATCAGTTACTGTTGTTCATGTTCTGTTCAAGTTCAATTAAGTTGTTCAGAAGTTTCTTTGTTGATTTTCCAATGTAATCTCTATTTATTTTTTATGTTAAATGTTCACCAGAAAATGTAAGCTGGTATTAATGGTATGCAGCACCATGACCTTGCTATATGAGAATTATATTATTATTTAATTTTAAATGAACATTGTAATGTGTTAACAGTGTTTTGTATAAAAAAATATGCTAAAAACTGATGTAACATGTATGGAAAATCTGTGAGAAGAAATCTGAGCATTATCTCCAGCTCAATTTATATCACCGAGTCCCGGCTCGAAAGGGTATTTCAAACCAACATTTTCTCTCAATTCTTCATGTGTAGGTAAGAAAATTCAAAATTAACAAAAACCCTATAAACCTTTTTTGGTTTTTGCGAGTTAATAATGGATTATCATTTTTTTTCCCTGAAATTAATGAAAATATTGATGGGGTAATGTCGGTGCAGGCATGCTCTGAAACACATGAAACAGGGGAGCTCCATCATTAACTCAACGTCCGTGACTGCTTACACGGGAGCGCCAACCTTGCTGGACTACTGCGCCACCAAGGGAGCCATTGTGGCTTTCACTTGGAGCCTGGCACTCCAGCTGGTGGAGAAGGGAATTCGGGTCAACGGCGTTGTCCGGAAGCCGTGTGGACTCCACTTCAACCGGCGTCCTTGCCGCCCGAAATGATAAAGAATTTTGGGAGCGAGGCACCGATGGGGAGGGCAGCGCAGCCTCATGAGATTGCACCGTGTTACGTATTCCTGGCGTCCCCTCAATGCTCGTCCTACCTCACCGGCCAATTTCTCCATCCTAATGGTCTGTTTCGAGTTTCAATCAAACTGAATAGTGATTAATTACTGCTTTAAATGATTACTGAAATTTTGCAACATTTATCATACTGCAGGTGGGATTGTTATTAATGCTTGATCCTGCCGATCCAAAATAATAATAATAATAATGCTTGCTCCTGCCGATCAAAAAACAATTAACGCTTGATCCTGGGTGTTCTGTTCTATAGTTTCTTTGGCCTCAGTGCGTTAGCAAAATCCGTATTTTGCAGTGGTTCGTGTAAATGATAATAAAGTAGTTGGTTAAGAGAGGGTAGGGTCTTCCAATGTCACATCTATACAAGTGTGACATACTTGAAATTTTCTTAATAATGTTATTTGTACTAGCGGGAACTTGCGTAAACGCATGTGTTATACCTGTGCATCGCAATAAAGCTCAGCGAAAAAAAGGAGAAAACCTTAAGAGCTTCGATTAGAAAAATTAGGGTCAGTAATGCACGCCTAAAGCCTAGGCGCAGTAGAGCCAAACACCCAGGTCTAGCGCCTAATGGCTAGGCGAGAGAGTGGGCTGCAGCCTACTTCGGGCTTGATCCTAACATACCAATCACAATTCTAATCTCCAAAGAAAAGAACGGATTATCAAACAAAGAAAGGCTGAACTTGTAAAAATGCAAACAGAGAATGGCAAATAGGAGATAAAGATGAATCCTTTCAGAAATTGTGAAAATGAAACAATATGTCTGCCAATAATACATAAAATGGAGGGTACCCCCAGTTATGATACCACTTTTGTAAACATATATAGGCAAATGCAGGACGCGGACCAATAGGCAGATTGATCTCCAGAATGTACGTCACTTGCATCTAATGCCTAATGCCCTATTCCAGAAAGACTGTTGCCGATCCTGTGCCACTGTCCATTGCATCAATGTCCTCCCTAGAGGGTAAAAAGAATAGTAAGATCATTCATGCTTTCAGAGCTGCCTTTCAAGTTTCTAAGATACCAATGTCATTTCATATCAAACATGGACCAGAAAAAGGAAAAAAGTTATATGAAGCCCATGAGTTTTTAATGAGATACTGAGAAAAGCTCACATACCTGTGTCTGAGAAACTTCACCATGGTTTGCAATGGGAGGAGAGGCATTTATGGGTGCATCTGAATTTTCAGAGAGTGCAAATACTGCATTGTTTTTACTGCGATTCTGAGGAAAACTATTTTCTTCTACACCTTTACCCTTGGATAAGAAGTTCGAGGTCCCTCCAGCATTACTGGAAACAGGAATTGAAGCACCAGGCTTCTTAGAAGCAAGGTCTAGCCGCTCAATCATTCGTGTGACACCAGCAATCCCTGCAGTCATTTCACGCTGAACTTCCTTGCTGAGCTCCCTAACAGAGTTATTGCGAGCAAGAAGCTTTTCCTTTAGACCTCGAGTACCTTTTGAGATAGATTCCTTATATCTGTTGTGGTACATCCAAACCATTCAGCAAAAGGAGCTTGGGGAAACAAGTTAATATCAGATCCAACAGTAACTAAAATATAACCTAACTACCTGGCTGAAGCAGCAGACCATTTGGATTTAATAGATTCAGAGAAAGAAAATGTCTGGGATGAGCTTGATCTCTGGGAACTATCTGTTTCTTGTTTTCTAAAGAAAACTCAGGAAAGTAAGGTGAGATTCAGAATGTAACACATAAAACATCAATATGGACTACAAAGGCTGACAAGGAAGAGATAAATCAGGGAGAAGATAGGATGCTCTTATTAATATAAATAAGAAATGCCTCACACATCCTTAGTATTAGCCTATTAGGCATATTGTAGAATGATCATCTATCTCTTGAAAGTACCTGTCTCTGGTAGGCTCATCTCCAATAACTGCAGGACTGGGCCTCAGATTAGCAGATGGGCTGATGGGTGATGAAGGTTCCAAATTAACTGATGCGGGGCTGATGAGTGATGAAGGTTCCAAATTAACTGATGCTCTGCCTGAAGTTAGCGAATCAGGCAAGATTGAGACATAATTTACACTTTGATAATCCCTTGGCAAAGTTGCATGTCTTTGCTGTGCAATAGGCATATTTTCAGGAGAAGTCAAAACAAAATCTTGGAAAGGGTCTGAAGGGCCAAATCCAGAGTGTCTTTGCCTTTCTCTCCTACGGAAATAATGAGCCCTACTAGCAGCTGCAGAAGCAAGATGCTGCATAATACGTTCTTCAAAATCAGAGTCATCTATGTATGCAGGAACCTGAAGGTTTTACACATTCACAACTTATCAATTAAAAATCAATTTCTACAACTCATAAGAAAAAGGTGAAAATAAAATTTAAAAACTGAACCATATAAATCACCTCTCCATTGTAATCCCCATTGTAAGATGGAGTCAAATGTGGAGATATGTTCCTTGACTTAGAATTCCTTTCACTCTCTAAAGCAGTTAGAAGCTCTTGGCTACAAATAGGACAAAAAGACACAAACACATGAGTGATCAGATATTTTCTGCTTATCAACATGATAACAAATGAAAGACAAGTATCCATGCGCGTATGCAATGGATATGAATGGTGGAGACCTCCCTTTACAGACCTGGCAGGATCTTTAAGGACAAATAACTGCCAACATATTGGGCACTCTTTGCTTCTTTGGGACCTAGAAAAACAAACAAGTTCTATTAGGAACTCGACAGCAGCAACAACTTAAATGCATGGAAGTCTTGCAAAGAAACACACATAATCTAAAAGTTAATCGATGCTTACCATTCAAGAATGCATTGAAGATGATATTCATGTCTGCAACTTGTAGCCTACAACAAGGGACAAAATTTTGCAGGATTTGTACTTAGAATTCCAATAAGGCTAACAACAACTATAAATTGGCAGGAACAGATTTTTTATGGTGCAACAGACCAACTAGATGAACGGTACTCCCTATCATGGTTCTATGCTTGCTTCTGAAAAGATCATTTCAATGAAAGGACAAACATGCCTACATACTGACTTCAGAGTTGACTCTTTTCTTTGGCACATCAGTAAAGTATATCATCAGTATATATTAGTTCCCGGTAATCAAATTTCTTCCTTCATTAGTTGAGCTTAAAATCATAAATACCAGAGCCAGACCAGATTAAACCGGGTTAAGCATCATAAAGCAGCAGGTTCATGTTATTTAAATTCAATATCATAAAATCCCGTCATCATCACGGTAAGAAGAATCGGCGAGGTTTTTTTTTTTTTTTTCCACGATTATCAAAACCTTGAATTCCAAAAACTGAATCGCAAAAGAACTGTGATCAACCAAAATTATGGTCTACACAGTAAACGAAAGCTTAATTTTCACTCATAAACTAAAAATAACAAGAAAAAAAAAAAAACACACCAATTAAAAAGGCGATCAACACATATATGTAACTGAAAATCTAATCAAACAGTCCAGAAATCACCTAATTCAACAGTTCTTTATAATAATTAAAAAAAAAAAAAAAACTTAAAAACATAGAAATCATTGAAAATTTATACATTAAACACAAAAAATAAAACGCAAACTAAAACGAGCATAAAAGAAGAGGTGTGAGAGAGCGATGATAATACAGTGACAGGATCCTGAGCAGTGAATGGCTCGAGACAGATACTGCAAACGTCCTCCAAAGCATTGTCAGGAGGTCCGGAAGACGACGAAGATCCAACTGATAATGTTTCTGGTTTCTCAAAGGAGCAAGGCGGAGGAAGAGGAGGAGGAGGAGCAGAAGCAGAAGAAGAGGAAGAAGGAGAAGTGAAATCCGCCATTGATTGGCTGAGCATAGGAGGAGTAGATAAGAAGCAGAACCCTAGAAGAGTGAGAGAGGGGAAAGGAAGAGTAAATGGTCAAAGAAAAGAATTTTTTGGTAAAGAAGAAAACGGCAACGCGGGGGAGAAAGAAAATCCGATTCAAACGGCATTTCATCTAATTTTGAGGATTTTTTTTTGTGAATGAAAGCTTAATGACAAATTATTGGTATTGCTATGGTCCTTCCTTTTTCTTTTTTTTTATTCTTTTACTAACCTCCACTATCAGATAACTTTATAAAATTCGATTAATTTGAAATTAAGTTAGGTTGAACATCATTAAAAAAAAAAATTTATAGTGCTTATTTTTTTTATTAAATTTAAACTCAAAATCTTATTTAAAAATAATTAAATTTTTTTCACTCAAATCAATATATCATTGGTGGTATTGCTATAGTTATAATGTCACTTAACAATGTAAATTTATAATCTTATATAGCATTTAATGAAATATAATGTGATATTAAACAAGTGAATATATATAATATTATTAGTGAATCCTAAATAAAAAAAAACTAATTATATAATGACATATCATATTATAAGTTTATAATATTATGTGATATTGTAATTATAATATTTTTAATAATTGAGAAGATTATAATTATAATGTTACATTGGATTACAATGGGCGATGCTAGAGGGACAACTTTTTGGACAGTATTATAGGAACAACTTTTTGAGCGGTATTATAAGGACAACTTTTTTATACCATTTTTTTATACAACTTCCACATGTTATTAAATTAGTAGATACCTTTAATATTACGGGACTCACATGAATAAAAAAAATCAACCATGTAAATGACACATTAAGTTGTATAAAAAGATAGATAAAAAAATTATTCCAAAATTATTTTCTTAACTTTTTTATATTATTTTTTGATACAACTTCCACGTGTTATTAAATGAGTAAATGCATTCAATATCATAAGTCTCACATGAATTTTAAAAAATTAATTATTAAATAAAACATCAAGTTATACCAAAAAATAATACAAAAAAATTATTTTAAAATCATTTCTTGATTATAATTACATAGTATTTAATGAAATATAATTTGACATTAAATAAAAGAAAACATATAATATCACTAATGAACTTCTAAATAAAACAAATTAATTATATAATGATATATTATATTATAAGTTTATAATAATAGGTAACATCGTAATTATACCACTTTCGGTAAATTATTTGATCGTCCAAATCTGCAATGCTTAAAAATAAATTTTACCATTTAATTTCTGTGATCCTCCAAATCTGCAATGGCAGCAACTTGAATGCCCTGCAAAATTATCTCATATATGAAAACAATAATAACAATGGATAATTAATTTTTTTTAGGAAATAGGATAAACAAATAATTAAAAAAAAGTATATATAAGTCCCAACTCTCGAAATAAATTAAAATCTTAATTTTAATCTATATCATTTTATTTAATTAAAACTTAAATTCAAACTTTAAAAATTCATTTTATTAAATGTTAATAGTTGGATTTAAAAATTAATTATATTATAATCAATTTTTAAATCTAATTATCAACATAAAATTTTTAAATTTTGAATTAAGATTTCGGTATCTAAATGTAAGTTAAAACTTTAATTTTTTTATGAATAAAAATCGATATGCACTAACATCACAATTAATTTTTTTTTTTTATCTTGATTGCACAATATGAAACAACTATCTCTCATCCCTTATCCACTCCACCAGCATGTTATGCGATTCAAACTCAGGATTTCTGTGAAATGAGATAACCACTGAATTATTTAGATCGTTAACACAATTAAATTAAAAATTATATATTTTACAATTTGATACAATTTAAATTGTGCAACAATTTTTTAAAAATTAATTAAGGATCTTTCTACTATTAAGATATAAGTTAAGGATAGATTTATTATATATTTTCACTATTAATTGTATAAAAAATTATGAAAGTATAATTTTATTGTGAACTCTAATGTTATGTGAAATGATTTAATTAGATAGTTAATAAAATTTATTAAAATTTTTATTTTGTATATAAATTAATAATAAAAATATACAGGAATTATATTTTAACATGTATTTTTAATGCACAAATAAAAAAATTCCATTAATTAATTAGTCTAAGGAGGTGGATCCACTGTCTCAATTTCATTTAGAAAGTAATCTCAAAACTAAGAAGTTAGAAGGCTTTGGAAGTAATTAGGTCTAAGGCCTGAAAGAAAAATCCACTTGCATTTTTTAATAATTGTTTGGGACTCGGTTATAGCTTGTAGAGAGATTATTAACGTCACTAATATTTAATTCTTGTTTTGTAAAATTATTTTTTACATATTTAAGAAAAGACAAAAGTACGAGAATAAAGTTAAAAAGATATGGGTAAAACAATAATGCGACAAAATAAAAAAAAATATTAGGAATTTTAATCATCTTCATGGTGGTCATAAAAATCGACTTTTTGGATATTTTGTATTTTTATGATTATTTTTATTCGAATAAATTAAATTTAAGAAATATGAATCAAATAAAATAATATTACTATACATTTTAAAAAAATTTTCTTAAATTATCTCATAAAGAGAATCTCCTTTAAAATTTTTTATGATAAATTAAATAAATATTATAAATTATGATGATATGAAAATACTCTATAGGAGTATCGAATATGCTCTGAAGAAAATATTATGAATGAAGGAATATTCTATCCAAGTTTTGAAGTATTAGTGAAAACTACAGGCATGGTGAACTACGAACTTCAAGGGTTGAATTTTTTTCACAAATTGACTAATTTAGCGCAATGATTTAAGTTAAATGGCCTTTTTGGTAGTTGATAAATAAATAATTATTATTTCATAAATTAAAGGATGTTAACAGGAGTTTCTATTGAAAAAATATAGACTTTTAATTTCAATTTCACATTAATTTTAGTTTTAATTTAAATTAATTGATGAGCACACATTTTCAATGGAAGAATTACAAATGAAACTCATTTCCACGGCAAATAGAGATTAAATTAATTGATCATGTAAAATATCTACACAATTGTTTGAATCATACACTTTTGACAATACATTTGTACTGACAAAGAGCAGTATGTGATCTCTATGATTTTATTATATTTTATAGGGTATAGACCTTTCTGAATGGCAAGTATGTAGCATTTTATATGAATATTGATTTATAAGTTGATTGGACATATTTAGAGTTAAAAAAACTCTAATCATATAAGATTAATCATTATTTGACTGAAACAATTTATGATTAATCATTTTGTTTTGGTGTTTCTTAATTTGAAACTCGGTGACTTCCTTGAAGCAAATGATCCATTTTATACTAATTAGCTGACTAGATGGATTTTAAAACAAAATTTAGTTTTCTCCAATATCCAAATATATATCAATTTAGTTTTCTCCAATATCCAAATGTATATCCTGTAAGTGGAAAAATAAAAACAATTATAGATAATGCCATGACCTTAATCCAATCCAGCTAGACCTTAGTTGAGAATGAATTTGCAAGAGTAACAAAAAAATTTTTTTTTTGAACATTAGAGAATTGGTTTAATGAGGGAAAGTAAATCGTGAATTTAAAATCAAGACATACTATTCTAACTCACCTATTTAAGCGGATGGCCATTAAACCACCACAAGTTGGACGCAAGAGTAACAAATTGGGGTCACAATTCACAAACAATTGATTTGGTGGCAGTAAACGCATTTATTTAAATTTTAAATGCAGAGCTCATTGATGGGTGCAGCTTACATTTCTTGTGATATGACGGTTGGAAGACCACATGCTCAAAATTTTGTGGGAGTACCATTCCTGATGATTGCATGGTTCGCTCTTCTCTCTCTTATTAATACGTGTTAAATTTTGTGTTCAACTTCAACCCCAACTAATCCCACTCCTCCTATCCCAAATAGGGGTTCTCAGCTTTTAGTTGAAGTCATTTGAGTCTTTAACTTTTATTCAAACCGTTTTGGTCCCTGAATTCTTTATTTAATACCATCATTTTACTCATTTTTTTAGTTAGTTTACCCATTGGAGTTAATTTTGGTAATGATAAAAACCAGAGGAACGGAGATGATATGAAAGTGAGGAATAACAGAATAAAATAGCGTTTGTAAATTTGTGTTGTGATATTAGCAAATTTGCTCCTTATACATTGTATAACTCAATGGTACACATGGACTTAAATTATAGCTTGTACAGATTCAGGGATACCTCAAGTTTGATATAGAGAGCTCTTATGAGAAAACATGATTGTGCTAAATGATAGTTCTCAATAACTCATTTAGGAACACCTTATGTGATATTAGAAGAATTAATTTAATAAATTTAGATAACAATGACTGAATTAAACAAAATGCACCTAAAACGTAAGACTTGGTGACCAAGACAAAGGGAATAACGGATAGTGGGATCCACGCAAGATTAAGCTTGGCTCACACTTAGAGGTAGCTCTATATCCATGTCAACACCTACACAAACCATTACTTATTTTATAGGTGGTTCTTCCTTGTCTTCTTGTCACACGATACTTTTCTATCGATAATTATGTCTATTGTGGTATATTTTACAAATCAAACTCCAACAACTGTGCAGATTAAACAAGTTTCTATTTTCAGCAAAGCATGCCACCTTACCCCCCCCATAAAAAGGGAATTCTTGCATATAAACAAAGGTAATTCAAATTCCCTCACAACTTCTTCTCCTCTAGTACTGTTCTTCTTACACCTTCACTAGAATACTGCTTATTTAAGGATAGAAGTGTATACTCTAGAGATCACCTCCGAATCTCCAATGCAGGCACCAACGAGTTTTCTTTTTGCCCACATCCAGGTTAGGTTTTCATAGAAGAAACACAACTTTGCCCATTCGTTCAAGAAGTGTTGATGGTTGGGAAGAAGGGATTAACCCTTGGCAGCAATTTTCTTATTATCACGTTTTAATCTCTTCTGTGAAAATGAAATTCCAACTGCCTCTTTTTTTTTTTTTTTGGGCCCTCAGAAATATGTAAACTGGAAGCTGCCTTTTTTTGGGCCATGAACAGATGAACTGGCAGCTGCCTCAAAGTAGTCACAAACTAACAAGAAAAATCAAAGAGAAAACTCCATTTGCACGTCGTCGTATTGCAGCGACTTCTGGTGAGGGTGCCCTTTCGGACATCTAACAATAACAGTGACTCCCAAAGAAAGCAACAACCCTCCGAACTTCCTCTCCAAACCTCTTTTTCTAAAGCCATCACCCTCGTCTTCCCCATTGCGAAAGCAACCATGGCAGTTTTTAGGGTATCTCTTCTTCTCCCATTGCTTCTCTCCTCTGTTCTTCTCATGAATCGCCCAGTCATTTGTGATACAGGTAACATTTCTGTCTTGTACCCTCAATTTTCAGTCCTTGTTTCTTGTCTTCCTGCATTTTTTATACCTTCTGTATTCGTTTGAATTGTATGCTACTGGGTTGAATCTGCTTAGTTGGTAATGGTACAAAAGGTCAGACCCAGGTCAGATGAGATCTGCTGATGGCTGATTGATCTTGGGTATTAGCTTTGTTAGTAAAGTAATGGATTTATCCGCTGACATTGTAGATTTGTCTGAAATCTATAGTTTAGCATTGGATTGTTGGGTTACATTACCTGTTTTCGCTACTATTTTGTATTTGATTGTTAATATCGTTATAATTATGTCAAGTTGGTTCTGATCACCCATATAGGAGATCTACCGATGCTTGGAGATGACATTTCTTTGATTATGTGTTTGAAAAGTTACTAACTTTTTGATCAGGCATATTCTCTAACTCCAATTAAGTGCAAAATGGTGGCCACAGGTCCAGCCGTCTAGGGTCAGGGGTTCCCTTCGATGAGTTTCCTAATTGATATCCAGTTGATTTTATTCCCCTTGGTATTTTAGTTCTTGATATGTATGTGCTCCAATATGTTGATAGAGTTGCTGAATACCAACTTGTCCAGGGCTGGTTAGGTTCCATATTTCTAAAATATTCATTAGGGATAGGAAGTGGTAGGAATTCTCTTGACTTTTTGGGGCTGAAGACACTTCTGTTCCGGCATCTAAGGGTAGCTAACAAAATGAAACTCGGTTGGTCAAGAAAGAATCACTAGCAATCTGAACATTGTACAGGTTATGTCTTGGCTGGATTTTGTGGGGTTGTATTTTACCTTTCTTGTGACCCAGTTGGAGTGATTCTTTTAGCTAGCGAGAAAGAGTTGTATAATTCACTTATTTGTTGCCAAAAAAAAAAAAAAAAAAGGATTTTGCTGCATAACTGGGATTTATATAGGATTAAGAAGAGAAAATTGCTTGTTCTTTTTGGAGCATGAAGTAGAAATCACACTAGATTGCTCTTTTTGCAAATTAATATTCATAGTAAATTCCAAATCTTATCTTACTTCCTTGTCTTGATATCTGAATGCTGGACTTCATCCTGCCATTTATTTGCAGATGAGGATGATGATCTTTTTCAACGTATTAACAGCTATCGGGCTTCATTGAACCTGACAACCCTAACCAGAAATGAGAATGCTGAGTGCTTAGCTGATGAAATGGCTGAGCAATTCAAGAATCAACCCTGCACAAACTCCACTGGTGCCAATACAGTACCAGGCACTGAAACTCAGTTATCCAACTATCCAACCCTTTTAACCAAATGCCATTTGAATGTCTCCAACACAAGAGATGGGGCTGTTTTGCCTGCATGCGTACCAAATCTGGTTCCAAGTCTTGTCGTCTCCAACTTTACACAATCTCAATACTCTGAGAATCTCAATGACACTAAGTATACTGGAATCGGGATTGGTTCTGAAGGAAACTGGATGGTTGTGGTTCTGTCCACAAGTACACCTGAAGGAAGCTTTGCAACAGACACATCAGCCAACTTGGTTTCCAAGATTCACCCTTTGTACCACTTACTATTCTTGCCGATGGTGGCTTTCTTCTTGCTGTAAACCAAAACTAAGAGGAGAACTATATTTTGTTTTCAAGGCTGCCATTCGTTTGCTGAGGGTAACCAACTGGCCATCTTTGATTATTTCAATAGATAGGAAAACTATGAAACCAAAGATACCTACTTTCTTTAGACAATTGAGTCCATATCTTCGTTGTTCAATTTGTAATGTTTGTCATTCATCTTACTTATTTTGGGAGGTCTAATGAGATCACATAATTGATTCATATCCCACTGCATTTCACTTGTGTAATTTTTGAAATTTTCTCTTGCTTGTTTGCTTAGATTCTCAAGCTTGAATGCCTTAGAAGGGCATCACCTTGTCAATTCAGTCCTTTATCAACTCCACCATGCTGATATATTGATGGTCTAGGTGATGCAACAGTGGTTTTCTGGCGTGGTTATGAATTTGTAATAGTAGTACCGTGTGATAAATGGAGCACAATGATTTACCCAAAAAATTTTAAAAAATGAAGCACAATGAAAGAGGGCAAAACAAAAGCTATAATAGAAGTGCAAGATATATATTTCTCTTTTTCATGCAATCCTAGTATGTGTACTTGCTTTTCCTCCCTTTCGCATATATGTCTTCTTCGCACACTTCAATTCTGCAGATATGTAAGCATGTTCATGTGTGTACCTACAGTTTCACAATCTAAATTATATAATGTGATGCTAGAAATTTGCGTTCAATATACATAGAAGACAAGTATATGCATGTTTTTGCTATTTAACGAGTACTTTACCCACATCCCAAATAAATGTGAAAGTACTTTCGAATTTATTATCTAGCAGTTGGAGGAACGTTAAAAGAATTTACTACAAGGCTCGCACAAATCATCAGAACTTCCTTCCCAAGAGGCAGAATCTGGCCAGCAGAGCCCACCAATGGTTCTAGCATTTGGTAGATTTTATCTAGAGAAATTCAGGAGCCTCTATTTTTTCTTTTCTTTTTACTAGATTATAATTGTCATCAAGCTCCCTTTAATCTGGTAGGTGTGAGAAAAAGATATCTCCTGAGTGCAAGCATTAGAATCCATGTTGTTTTTGAGATCTTCTCCTTTATCATTAGATGCAAGGCTGAGCTTAGCACGGTCTTAAGGATCTGTGCAGCTATTCCTTTGTAGAATCCCAGCAGCCCTTCTCTTTTCCAAATGGCATAGACTGCACCTGAAATTGATTTCTGATCTTTTGATTGAGTGGGGCCGTTTTTCTCTTCAGACTCTGCAGCCTGAATTGTGACTTTACACCTGCCACCAATCACATACTAACAATGAAGCTCTAATTGCTTCAAGAAAGAATGTATTCTATATCAATTTCTATAGCGCACCTTTTGAATCTAAATTTTCTTGGAGAAAAGATATAGAGTAATACTTTCATTTTAATTACTTTTGAGAGTTGGCAATGAAATGCTAAGGCAGACTATCTACCTAATTGCTGGGTAAGTCAAGAAGGTTGCCGCACACTTCGACACAGCACCTAACACAAAGGCAGAGAAGGCTGAAAGAGCTTCTGGGGATGACTCCAGACCTCTTTTTCTCTTTAAACGGGCTTTTAGTAGCCTTTGTTTCAACTGATCAAACACAGTATACTGTATGACAGAAAAGTTACAGTCTCAGCTTAAATCTGTTCACTTAAAATCCATTTTGCTGCTTCATAGAAAGGAGAAAAAAAATGTAAAATCTAAATAGTAAAACTGCAATATGATGTCTGCTAGGACACAGATAGAGCACATGGTACAGAACCTCTGATGGCACATGCCTCTCACAATAGGCCAATTAAACCAGTAACCTCCTATGCATGCCATGCATATTAAAGAAGGAGAATTTGAATACCTGAATAGACGGATTTGATGTCAGGAGAAGAGATATGCCTAAACCATCAAATGCCTCACTCCAGGTGCCCTCCGAAAGTGTCTTCAAAAGTCCTTTGGATTTTCCAAATTCACTTGTCTGCATCCTTGAGGAAGCTGTATCTAGGGGCTGGTATAATCAAGTTCAATTCCAATATGTTGCATTAGACGTTAGAGCAGTGATTTTAAGGAAGAAAAAATTAAAGAGGTGAAACCGTGGAAAGGGAAGCAGGAGGGGAGAAACTTTTGTTGACAATTATTAGCTAGAGGAGTCATGAACAAATAAGAAATGTTTATTTCACTTCATACAGCCATATGTGTATTTATCTTAGAGTAAGTTCAGTTTCCCATTTTTTCCCTCAGATACATAGAGATCCATGAAAAAATTTGACCCATTTAGTAAAGAATTATTATTCCAATATTCTTGGAAATAAATAATTGACTCCAACTTTAGAAAGAAAGCATCAAATGAAACAATTTACTTCCTGTCCTGAGTTTTACAAATTGAACAACATGGATAGTTTAAATTACCCTGACAAAAGGAATTTTAATAGTATTTAATATATATGTATGTATTATAGTAAATTTAACTTCACAAGTAGATGCATTCTTGTAAAAAAGTAATAAATTCTAACATTACTCACTTGTGTTATTACAACAGTACAAGCCCCGGCAGCAGCAGCAATAAGCAAGTTTGCTTTTGTTCCAATGGTTTTGCTTCCACTTTTCTCCAAGTAAAGCCTTTTAAAGAAGCTGTATCCATAGAAGTATATGAACTGTGAAACAAAGGACTGAAGATTCTTGGTTCCAAGGCCCTGGTACAATGAAAGAACCTGGCGGGTAGATATTGCTTCCCATAGAACATCACAAATATTCCTGCAGGCACCAAACCATGTAAACTTAATAGTGATTGCTAGAACCAACTCTTGTGTTACTAAACAGTACAGAAAGCTGGCAATCCTTTGATTGTTGGGAAGAGGTTTAAAACATAAAACATGTTATGGATTAGAACCTTCAAAATTGGAATATAAACACTTTCAATTGCACATTGTGTGGGGGAACTAAATCACAAAACCCCAAAAAGAAAGAATCACTTCTTCTGTTCTGAATTCTGATAAATGGAAACACAGTGAAATAGAAAGGACCATTCATGAGTATAGCCACATAGTGAATCATTTGTGGATATGATAATCCATGCGTTCTGACTAATAAGTCAGACGTTGCAATAGCTAAGCACTTTCTTTGGCAATCAAAAAACTAATAATAATAATAATAATAATAATAATAATAATAATAATAACAACAAGTTCAACAACTTGCACAATATCTATTAATGTCCCACATCCCTTTAATTGTTTAAAGGACCTAAATATTTTCTATACTTCCATTTATGATGAACCAAATGCAGAATTCTTGAATCATTTTAGATAAATTCTGTCTATCACACCTCCATTTGGAGAACATTACAGTTCAGAAAAGCAAACATAAATTCTCACGCCATTAAACTTAAGAGCATAAGCACATAAAAAAGAAAAAAAGAAAAAAAAAAAAAAGCCATCCTCATATTGGTACCATATTAATTATCTAGATGAAATTAATTTAGCTAGAAAATAACATGTATCCTAAAGACAGAGTTACCTACTGAAGTCTCAACTTTGCAGAATAATTGACTCTCAGCTCCTGCCTTCATAGCAAGAACATGACAAAAGCTCAACTTTGTCATATGACTCATATCTCCAACAAGCACCAAAACGTTAAATACTCACAATTCAAACTAATAATTGCTTGAAATTTTTACTCATGGATTTCATTTAATTGTTACTTGACGGAGGATAAGCATATAAGTACATGAATCTTCTAAATTTCTCTCATTAAAAAAAGAACTCATATATAATTAAGAAATACAAAAGCAAAGGAGCTCAAACAGCATAAGAAAAGTGTACCAAAATATCTACCATAAAAATCAAGCAGAAAATGAGACCCATAAGAAAAGTCTCATCAACATCCCCAACATTACCTGTACTTCTGCTGATGGTGAGCTCGAACTTCAGCCTGATACTTGCTCTTGCAGGTGTCAAGCGGGTACAAGATGGTGGTGCTAACCAGAGCCCCAACCGCTCCCGAGGTAGCCTCCGATATAGACTCCAAATCAAACCCCATCTCGCATAGCTTCTTGCGAGTGAAATTCGACAAGAAAGCTCACAACTTGAGAATGTAGTCGTGCAGCGGGAGTATCCTTGAATTAAGGCCCTTGGTATGTACTTACATGAGAAAAAAAAGAAAAAATCAGAGAGTGAAAGTGACGCTGATTGAAAAGGTGCTTTGGTTACAATATACGTTTACGGTTTACGTATCGTTTCGGGAATCGGAAACGTGATGGGGCTGCCGGCCGTGGAAGAATGCGGAATTGTCTTTTTCTTTTTTTTTTTCTCCTTTTTATTTTTTTTTAAGAGGTTGTGACTTGTAGTTCTAAAACGACGATATTGACGTTCTGATTTTTTTCCTTGTTCGAAGAAAATGCTTTAGATTCTTAATTTTATATTTGTTATTAGAAGTATCTTACACCATAATTAAGTTATTTTAATAATTTTTTGATTATTT